AACTAGTTGCTGCTCGCCTGCAGGTTCAAGCTGGCGTTTATTGCCAAGTCATGGCAAGTTGAACAAAAGGAAAGAGGCCTGATTGGCATAGATGTGTGGCAACATGCCCTCGTTTAGTAATAAGCTGTTACGTGCATATTCTGCCGACTTTTGCTTTTGCTTGATTCTAGAATTGGCCATCTTCCAATCGTCGGTTTTATTTGCCCTCCACTCACATTACAGGGGCCTTGATAACTCGAGACCCAACAGTGGGAAATCAACGAAGGAGGTACGGAGTAGAACAAACAGAGTGTAGCCGGGAATTTGGCGAGAGCTGTGACAGGCCGATGAGATACAGTAGCACGGTACAAATTGAATGTTTGGAAAAGAGAGGCATCCCTCATCGTAGGTTGTCGTCTGGTCACGTGCTCTGTGCCACAACTCAACTACAGCCACAGATACAGTCACCTCCAGAAGCGGATGATAGCTCTGCAGTGAAGCGCGACTACCTCACCTCACAGATCGTGATTTCTTCAGTCGCGGAATTGAGGTGCAGCCGCCATTTGTTTTCGAATATATCACCACCATAAATTTACAACCATTTATAAAGCATCTCAAGGCAGACTGGCACACGTCAACCAGAAACATCCAAAATGCCCCCTGGTATGTAACTATTATTATATTTGCGTGATTCACCTCCGCCGACGCCTGTCGCACGCGACGGACGATAGGCGCATCGCGATCGCGTCTCCAATTCTATGCACAATATAGCCTCTATTTCCAGCGCAATTGGTATTCTGCAATTTCTGACTATTGCGCAGCTCTTAGTGACGAGGAATCCTCCGACGTTGGGGAGTTCACTACGCCTCCTCGCGCGAGTAGCCGCAAGAAGTCCACCTCGGCTGCTGCGGTCGATGAGCTCGACGATATGAAACCGGAACCGGCTTCCGACGACGAGGAGGGCGATGAAGACGAAGACCTGGATGAGGATGAGTAAGATATCAGCGAACCTGTCCAAGGGGCTAAAGCTCACATGCTGCAGGTTTGTTGTGGAAGCTATCAAAAAGCACATGGTTTACGACGACGTAGGGAGTAATAGCCCAATTCTGAATCATCTTCTAACCGTGACCGCAGGGAAGTCTGCAATTTCAAGTCAAGTGGGAAGGTTACGAGGCCAAAAAAGATTTGACGTGGGAGCCTGAGGAGAATCTTAGGTAGGTGATGGAGTCGCATGACTTGCCCGAGGCCTTGTCTGACGTGTTCTCCCCAGAGAGTCCGCCCAGGAGATCCTCGACGCCTACTTCGAAAAATTCGGCGGCCGCGAGAAACTATTTGAAGAGCATGAGACTGCATCAAAAACGAAGAAGCGCCGCCGTGCTACCACCAATGGCACCCCCAGTACAACGTCTACAGCCAAACGATCGCGACGTGAGCACCCGGCCAATTCTACAACTCCGGCGACAGCGAAGAATTGGAGCCCTCCAGCAGGGTCCTGGGAGGAGGAGATTGAGACCATTGATGCATGCGAGGATGAAGGTAGTGGCAAGTTGATCGTTTATCTTATTTGGAAGAACGGCCGCAAGACCAAGCACGACACCGACGTTATTTACAAGAAATGCCCACAAAAGGTCAGTGATTTGGAGATTTAGCAATGCCGCATTTACTGACGAGGGGTAATACAGATGCTCCGCTTCTACGAGCGTCATGTGAAGATCATTAGAGATGAGAACAAGGCTCTTGTCGATGGCACAGAGAACTAGCGGGGCTTGAACAAGAAGGACAGGGGAACTGGGGCGAGACGCAGCAGCATCAGGTATCCGTTTTGTACTGATCCTCGATGCGGCTGTGGATGGGACGGCGTTCTGGGCGATGACCATTAAGTCGCGGATGGGTTTCTATTTTTCTTTTTGACTTATCATGCGTCTACACGCGGCATGGGAACGGGATACTGGTATTCAGACAAGACTTCACATCACATCATGGAGAAACACAGCGCGCGTAGCATGCGTATCCGAAGCTTGTATTTTTTTTTTTAGGGAGCGTGTTGGCTACGCAATCGAGTCGTAGTAAATTAAAAATGTGCAAGCATTATGCAAGCATTCATGTGAAGATGCCAGACTCGTACCTTGCATTCCGTGGAAGTGCGGCAAGCCAGGCAGGGTCTTTTCACGATCCTTGGCCTATAGGTAGTTAGTCAGACGCGTCTCGACGCGACAACAGTCAATTAAAAAAAAGTCCTGAGGTGACGTTTTCTGCGAGGCTGGGAAAAGATCAAAAACGTTCCAGCGTGTCAGAGGCCCCTGAATGTCTCCACAGCGGGACCCTTGCAGCAAGCTTAGCTCTCCCCCCTCCCAGCCTTGCCATTTACTAGGTACCCGACCTTTGGTCTGTGAGAAAAAGACGGTGGCGGGGCAACGACTTATAATAGAGTGAGTGGTCGTTTGTGAGTGAGACTGCGCATTCCAGTTCCTGATCTTGCTTATCTTTTTTCTAAGAAACGAAGCTTACGACTTATCTTCTTGAATAAAGAAAGAATTAAGAGATTTTTGGACATTTAAGACTGTAACGACTCTCCATTGTACGACTTTTGAGATTGATTGGTTCATCTGGTTGCACTACGTTGACTCTACTCCAACCTCTTGACTCGGACTTCAACTCAACTCTACTCTATCACAACAGAATTCTTAATTGGGTATGTCTACCCCATAAGCCTCAGCAGTCTAGTCTAATTGGACCCTTGAACTAACTGTCTCAGATTGAAACATCCTCCTTGAATCCATTGTTCGCAACAAAGACAATCTCACTATACACAACATCAACCCTTCCCACCAATTAACCCATCTTCAACCGCCAACATGAAGAAGAACGACGTTATCGCCATCATCATTATCATTCTTTTCATCATCTTAGCAGCTGTATCCTTCGGCATCTGGAAGCTCGTCTCTATGGCCAAGAACCACATGAGCGTGACAGGCAGCGGCACATCAAGCAGCCACTCCAGCCGCGACATTGCCGACTAGTCCCATCACCTATCACGATTTCAAGCTTCTGATACCCAGTGGTGGTTCTTTTTCCCTGTTTATACTTTTGAGCACAGCGGTTTTGTGGCTATTTACTGCCACTTGTTTTGGATACAGCATAAAATCATGGTGGAATGCGGGCGGGTTGGTAATATCTGGATGGCTGATTTATGAATCACTCATGTTTGGGTTACGGCGCAATATCATGGCGACATTGAATGGGTTATGTGTTTTTGGAATATGTTTATGACCTTTCTGGCATATGGGCAATGCATTTTGTATGGAAGATAGACTACGCTTATGATTAGGGGGCCTAATATGGCATGTGGATGAAACAATATATATATATATATGTATCACTTACAACAATGATCGATCGTGCCGTTGTTCAGGGCCTTCAGCCATAAAACTCCTCTGCTCATCAACGCAAAACATTGCTCTTTGAATCATTGCCTGCTGGTGCTGATTAACAACACTTACTTGGCAGTATTCAGACCTAGCTTGTCGTGATACCAGTGACACATAACTCTGAAGGACGTATTTAAAGAGAGTTTTACAACACCCAAGTCCTCCCTTCTTGGCCACACAGTCTCATCAACTCTAGAGGCTTATCCAACATATCCTTACAAAACAACTATAGTCAAATTACTACAATGGCGAACCTCGATTTCCTACTGCCGGATCTTATCGAAAAGGCCTCGAAGCTTAGTATCGACGATCTGGACACCAACAAGAGTCCTGGCAGTATCTCACGATATCAGGAATTCCCCTATGCTCACTTTTACATCTTCAAAAGCAACATCGATTCTGTTAGCCTGAAGAAGACGGGCCCTGAGTATCAGGAGCGCGTGAGGAAAGCCCTCAAGGCCCTTGAGGAAAAGTACCTTGAGGTTTATCGAGACTACCAGACCTGGAAGGACGAACTCATTCTCGAAATTGAAGATCATTACCAGCATAGCTGGAACAATTTCATTCTGGATCCTCGCGACCGCATGGAATTTGGTGACGGGGTATTGGAGGACCTCAAGACTTTCCTTGCCTATTCCAGCGAGCGCTACCCGTTTCCAAGTTATAAGAGTCCAGAACGCTTCAGTAAAACACTCTTCAAGATACGCATGGAATTGGCCGAAATCAAGGGACTTATCGAGACCGGACGCCGTGAGCTGGCCCGGCTGGAGGGCTCCGACGCATTCATCAAACTTCGCAATGACTTTGTCAAGCATCACGAAGAAATTGCAGCCAAGTGCGATCTTCTCAACTTTCGTGATGATGATACGAGTAGTTGCGCGTCTTCTGATTCAGGAGGAACAAGCCGAGAAATTGAGGATTAGGAGGAGACTTGCTGTTGCTGGGGGCGTGAGGAGAATAACGGAATACATGAGGTTATCAGGGATCAAAACGGTCGTCTCTCAAGCTCTACAGCGCAGGCTGAGCTCTATGTAGATACATTAGTAGAGCATTGATCATGAGGTTCGGGAGGGCTTAAACCCGAGGTACGAAAAGAAAATGGTGTACATATTGGTTCCATTTACGTGATATACGTGCGCCAAACATTGAGTTTTCGTGGATAAACTGTTCCAAAGTGAGAATCGTATGTCTTTTGAATTGTCACTGTTCAAGGACGACTCATGTCTGGCTTGTTCGACGCAGCTTACCCTGTCGAGGAGACTCTTGTTTCTGATTGGCCTAGGTGTTGTCAGTTCGCTCAATGAGGCAACTCTCACTTTTCATAACCAAAACGAAGTCTTTCCGATATCACTGAATGCTAATTCGAAATACCATAGAAGTATATATTTATGACGCTTCATTTCAGTTCGAAGGCACGAAATTTGCATACATACACGACAACACATAATTAAGACAGCTGGTTGATCACCAACAGGCCGACTTGTGGCATTATATTCATCTCTAAGAAGTCTAGCATAGGCCTCTCATCCCTTCATTTATGTACCATCATATGTGTATCTGAAATCTTTGTTCGAGAAGTTGTCACCGTGGCCCTTACTTGCGGGCAAAGGGAGTAGGAGTTGGGGCCACGATGGGCTCAGTAGGAGCAGCGGGAGGGGGCTGGGGGACAGCAGGAGGAGTGGAAGCAGAAGGAGGAGGTACAGGAACCATGGGAGGAGGTGTAGGGGTAGGTCCGGGAGTAGGGACTGTCAATTGTTAGTATAGTTCGAGTTGATATAGTGCAGAATCACTTACCACCGGGCTGCTGGCCGTTGCCAGGCACGGGCAACCAACTACCAGGTCCTCCATTCTGGCCACCACCGTAGTGGCCGTGGTTTCCAGGCTGAGTGCCATTGATAGAAGGAGGAGGAGGGAAGAAACCTCCAGGGGCGGCCTCTGTATGAATATCAGTATGCTGGTCAGACAATATGAACAAGACATATACTCACGAGGGAACGGAAGAGCCATGGAAAGAGGAGCCACGGCGGCAATGGCAAAAGCGATGAAACCAGTCTTCATTTTGGCGGGTTTTTCAAGGTAGTGACAGAAAAGGTTGCTTGATCTGAGGATGAGAAAGAATGGTAACGACTTCTAGTCTTTATAACGAACGAGGCCAGCTCAAACAACAAGGATATAAGATAAAGATAGCTTAGTAGGTCACAGACCAGGACGATGTTGTCAAGAATAGAGAGAAAATGATGGGCTGGAATGATCAAGAACCTGTTTTTGACGAGATTGTAGGCAGTGTTATATATCTGTTGCTACAGCGGGCCACTTTCCCCCTTGGTAGCTCTGCACATCTTTACCGTGATGGAGGAAGATACCGAGAGACCCTTGAGTGATCAGCTGTGGGTTAAGTTGGATCATGGAGTGCGAGAAAATGAGAGGCTAGGATGGTGCGTGTGAGTTGACTGACTCTCCACAGTGCCGGTAGCCTTGAGCGAACCGGTGTGGCCGATGGAGGACCGGTAGTTGGGGATAGTCTGTATCGTCTTGATGAAGCTTACATGGGTGGGTACGGAAGGGTAAAAGCTTGTATCGCCTTGGGTATTTCTCTGCTGAATGCTTGGATGGTATTGATACATGGCAAACTGTGGCATTTCACCTATAACTAGCAATTAGCTATGATTTTATGCTTAACAACTCTAATTATTCTTCAATTGCTTGTATCTATGCTGATATCATCTTTCTTTATTTAGATATCTTACAGCCTGACCTGCAATACTCTTGATTCATGATCGACGCAGTTACAGTATGACATCTTTACAAAAACAAGAGTTATCTCGTCTCCATAATTGAACCCACAGCCTTCTAACAAACGACGCGTAACGCAAAGAAACAAGGTGAAAGCCCATCTCCACCAGAGAATACCCTACGGAGAATTCACCTCCAGTAAAACACATGCCCCACAGCCTATTCCCTGACAGCCAGCACCGTTTGTTTCAAGTCTTAACTCTCCCTATTTTCTCCACCACCAATCATTGTCTAAAATACAGTACGTGCGATACCTGAGGCTCTTTTGTTCTGCAGGTACGTCTGTTGCAGCGCAGATCTCTTCTCCAACAAGGTCCTCTATGCGGTATCAAGGAGGTTGACGACGCGGCCTGCAGAGTCTTGAGACTGGGGTTGACGTCCGAGATAAAATTGTGGGATTTGTGAGAGCGTATCTTTGTCTTTATTTTACGGTTTCATCGTTCGTGTTGCCGAAATCTATGCTACGTTAGATGTGCAGTGCAACGGTACAACTCTGAGCAAGCTTGAGTCGCTCGGTTCGATTGTAACCTCAAAATCTCCAATCCTTCAGAAACCAATCGTCCTCGTTGTCTATGTCGTATACTCTAGCAGTTTATCGCCGTGTAACAAAAGTTTAGCATCGCTGCTTGACGAACCTCCCATCATGTTGAGCCATGGGTATTTTCTTCCGCAATCAACCTTTCTGTCCGGAACATTCCATCTCTTGTCACTTCGCCTCTCACCAACTCATGACGCCTCGACCACGATCAAATCCACCTCGTAGCTGACGCTCAGGCTTGACGACTTTGCCTCTCAAGACTGTATACCGGATCAAGTTCTCGCAATCTTCAGGCATGACGCGTGCCAACCAGATGCCCTGAGATGCGCCCACACTCTCCTCTGCTGATCCATTCAAGCCATTGCCGTTCTTTTCAACGCCATTTGTGCCGTTCTGCTGTTCAGGAGCCGGATCATCCAGACCAAATGCATTCGGCCGTCGATAGATCATGACGTTGGCAGAGTACTTGTGTCCTCCCACATGGCTGATGTAGTAGATACCAACACCGCCAGGCCTCTCATCATGCAAGTCTCGATACAGACCCAACGGCCTTAGCTGGCGCTCAAACTCTTTCCTGAGAATCGGTGCACTCTGCGCACAACGCACATCGCGTGTTCGATGACTGCACATGAGGATTACAGCGTTGTGAGGGCAGTTCTTTAGTGAGACTTCCGGGATCCCGGCAGCCGGGTCGGGAGACGGAAGAGAGGCCGGGAGCGGAGTGGGATGAAGGGGAGAAGTGCTAGTCGGTGCCCGGTTGATAACTTCGGTAACAATCTGAGGGACACTGAGAGGGTGAACATTGTGAAGAAGCTTGAAGGCCGGCAGTAGTAAAAGAGTTGTGGGCTCAGAATAGTCATCTGTGTCATGAGGAGTCGGCATATTAGATGCCGAAAGCTTGAGTTTCTGTGATTGTTAGCGCCGCGATCGTCAAGTTTCATGAGTTGTGATATGAGGCAAACCACCCTCGTCTCATCCGTCAAACTCATGAGATAAAGACTCACCCCATTCGCAGGCTCGGCTGCCTTAGAAAAAGCCTCCATCACACTCCCCTTTTCATCCGCCACATCCCTCACCCAATCCGTCTTGCCTGTTCCAACAAGGAGATGGGTACTCCAAGGCTCGACAAGTCCATACAGCACATCCTCCTCCTCAATCTTGAAGCCTCTGGGATATCTCACGGAGCAGTTTTCACAGTCGTGCAGGCATTCCTCGCCGTCTACTTTTGGATCCGTCTTGGCGAAAAGCTCCGAGGATGAGGGCTTGGTATCCTGTTTTGCAGATCCTCCGCCGAGCACGGAGCCCATGAGGTTCTTTAGTGAGAGGGCCATTCTCTGCTTCGCGGGCTTGTGCTGCGGAAGCCAGGACGGTGTAGCGGCTGTTATGGAGATTGAAGGTGAGGCAAAGGGAGGGGGGTTGTCGTGTGTGGATGAGGATGATAGGGTCATGTTGTAATAAGAGATCTTTCGGTAGATTTTAGGGCCGTTGACGTCTCCAGATGCCGTAGGTTCGGTTCGGAATGGGACAGTTTGATTGGCACTGATCCACTTGAATAATTAATTGGTAATGGATATACCAGTTACTGATTGATAATCAGATGATCGATCAGATAATTAATTATACGCTGTCGCTAAACAATTACCTGCCTAGATACCGAAATGGAGGACGATTTAAATGATGAGATCGTTTCTTCTCCTCTGCATTACCAATGTCGAGTCTCCTATGGCTTCAAATAACCCAAACATTTCGCTTTATTCCTTCGCTCTTTTGCCTCCCCCGTCTATCTCCGATCACCGAGCCTGACAGCCTGGTACAGTAACATGGGCACGTCATTAGATTGCATCGGCTCCCACAAAGGAGTTATCAGATCCTGTCATTCTCAAACGTCAGGGTTCATCAAACCCCGGTCTCCAATTTTTGCTCTGACGAACCCCAGAATTAATTACGACATTTGTGCAGACAAGCAAAAAAAAAAGTTCTTTAGACTGGCCCGTAGCCCCAGGTTTCTCTCATTATTTACATAAATATAATTAACGTTTTAATTAAACTCAAGATTGAGATGTAACGGTCGTGTCAAGATCCGAAAACTAGGTACCTATCATCCGTAAAAAAAAAAAAAATAAGCTGTCCTTATGTCACTCGGTCCACTCATGTTCTTAGAAAATCATCAAAGAAACATGCTATGCGGTAGCCGATTCAAATAATACAAAATGCTTAGATATAGCTACTTGTAGCTTTCCCATCCCTAATGGTCACTTCTGCCTGTCATCCGCTTTTCAATGCTTACGCGTTCTTCTTTCTAGCCTCATCATAGCCCTCCTCTTCACTGTCGTCATCCTCGTCGTCACCCTCTGTCCTTTCTTGATCTGTCTTATGTCGCCTATGCTTCATCGCCTCTCGAATCTTGCGACTCGCCTCATCAAATCCGCCTGAAGAATCCAATGTGGTGAACCCACTGATAGGGAATCCACCAGATCCGAAACCACCTCCGCTGCTGCTTGACCTTGACCTGCTACGGGCTCTGGAAGGCGGCCGTGTAGAGAAGATGCCCACGTGACCAATATTGCTGAAGGAATCGTTGCGTGGGAGGGCTCGGCTAGACTGCGTCGTGCTTCGTCGCGATAGAGCTGGTGGGGTCTCAGGCTCATAGCCAGTACTGGACTGATCGCTGTCTCTGCGACGATGTGTCTTGGAAGTTGTGGACGAACCACCCTCGGCTTTGTAAAGGTCGGGCACAAGCCGTGCCTTTTCAAAGTCATCAAACATCTCAGGTCCCAGGGTGTTAATGACATCTGTTACCTGAGCGCTCAGCTCGGCTCGTCGTTCTCGTAGCTTGTGGATGTTGTAGTTGGAGGTTGGTGTCAAGCAGAGGAGTAGTGGACGCAGAGACTTGAAGATGTCCATACCAACCTCACCAAAACGCAGTGATGCAAAAGTGATGCCAACCATAAAGGGCCACAATGCGAAATAAACCACCAGCAGTGGTACGCCTTCAGGAACATAACCCCAGAGACGGTCTTGCCACACCTTGAAAGTTATGATGGCCGAGTAAATATGGTAGAGAGTGGGTGCAAACCCGATTGCCACAAGGATCTTCCAAGTCGCCATGACATCGCGGCCGCGGATTTTGACTGTTGAGCCCGCCAGAGCCGTCTTGGCCTTCTGTCGGCTGATGATCTTGGTCGCTACGAAGACAGGCGAGAAGAGAATCAAACCTGGCAATGTACAAATGAAGAGGAAGAGTAGTTTGATAGATCGGTAGATGAAGAGGAATATGACCTTGATCATATTCATCTTGGCATATTGGACTTGATGGTCTTTTAGGTTGAGGTACCGCAATTGAGAGTTGTACTCTTTGACTGCGGCAGACAAGGACGTGATGCGCTCATCGTTCTTGTATCGCTCATACCCCATGCATAATCTGCGGTTAAGCTCGATCACTACGGGGAGTGGGAGCTTCTTGCCGGTGGGGTTGTAGAGTCGACGAGCAGCCTGGATCACCATGAGTGTGTCGTAGTCTGGTGCAGAGACGGTGACAGAGTTCAGGGCCTGATAGACTGTGTCAAGGACTTGGCCAATGGCTTCACGACGTTGGTTGTTGCAGTAGAGCTCGACGAGATGACGAGGAATCTCAAAGGGAGCACCGAACTCAACAACCGCACGCGAGCGGAATTTGTGGGCATGGAAGTAATTCATTCCCACAGGTACGATCTTGAGGCCGCAATCGGGATCTTGGGCCAGAGTACCAAGGGCCATGATAGCGACACCAGCCTTGAGAGGTAGAAGTTCCGTGCGATCATGGCTACCGCCCTCGGGGAAGATACCAACACAGCCGCCATTGCAGAGCCGAGAAAAGACTGCCTCGTAAACTTTGGTCTGGTCAATGTGAGGCGCCAACTTGAACTTGGTGCCCTGGTAACCTGGAGCAGGACCCTTCACGTCCTTGTTGGTGAAGTTCCCATCTTTGTCAATGTCGTCACGACCTGTGAGTTGTTGCAGAGCGATCTTGCTCTTAAAAGGTCGCTTGACACGGATCTCTTCAGGACCGATAATCTGAGAAATATCGACACTGGCGCCACTGGTGTTCTTGGTTGAGGGGAGGAAGAGCATGCCCTGAACCTCACCCTCTCCCTCTCCGAATTTTGTACCGACACCTCGAACAAGAGTTGGGTCGTTGATAGGATCGGGGAGGTAGATGGTGCCAGTAGCTGGTTTGGCAGCATCTTGAGCGCGGCCGACGGGAACTGAACCAACTTGTCGCGAGCCCCATCCGATGAAGCCGTGAACTGACTTTTGGGCAATGAGGAGAGACGCTCGCCGCTTAGCTTCGTTACGGAGGGTACGTTGAAGGATAATCGCATCGACGAACTATCGCAAGTTAGTAACTGGTCTTGTCTTATACAATATATCCCTGATGCGCTGCATCTTTAACCACGAGCTCCCCCAGATTATGCACAACTAACCTGATTGGCATGTGGCGCGGCGACGAACAGAACAGGGCCAGTCTGAGGAACACGCCAAGCACCTCGAGGCACAACTTCGCGGAAGAACATATCGACGATGTTGCCGACAGTATATAGGAACATGTCGTACTTCCAGTTCACCATAGGATAGAGCTCCTTCTGCGGGGTTGAGTTCGTCGCGGACTGCGGCGCTGCCGCGTCCTTTGTCCCAGCATGTTGAGACATTGCGGGCTTGCGCGGAAGAGCCCAGCGTTATTCAAACAGGCGCGCGAAACGATATTTCGAAGTCGAGCTGTGGATAGATGTTGCACGATAAAAATTTCGGCAGAGCGGGCAAGCGAGTTGTAATCGATGTGAGGGGCGGCGGGCCTCAGTTATGGAGCGAACACAGGATGGACGGTCGGACGGAAATGTGACGAGATATAATATATACAAATACTTGGAGGTGTTGGCTCTAGAGAGAGGTCTGCATTCCTGGAACGACAAGGGTGAAGGATATGGAAGAAGATGCAGGATGGAGATGGAAATGGAAATGGAGAAACAGCTGGGGCTGCTGGGGTTGGGAACAGAATGTACTGTACTGCACCTCAAGGAGGGGAAGCTACCTGACTGGACTCCGTACGTGATGGAGGGAGAGGTGTCTGCCCAGTAAGGAAAGGTTGGTTTTAAAGCTGACAAGCTATGATCTTCGTAGGATGAGTTAAAAATCACGGCACTTTACATATCTTTTGGCACGTCACAATTGACTCCCTTTCTCGAGTCTTTTCTTTGTTGTTGCTGCACCGACTGTCTTTGTCGTCAACGAACTTCCTTTTTAGTTACAATCGCCCGCTTGCAATCCCTTCTGACGACCGAGGATATATACTTCCAAACCCTATGGACTATAGCCTGCGGCGCAAACCCCGTACCAACCCGTACTCGCACTCGGCGCTTTTCCCCTGCAAACTGTTTATCATCACTCCACTTGCATCGGAGATCCGGTGCGGTGCGGTACGGGGATGGTGCAGGTTATAAGGAGCACCAGGGTTTTTGCGCAATCAGTATAGCATCAAAGACATCGTTTAGCCCGAGCATGCCGGTCACAAGCCACAGATAACGGTTCTGCATGAACAGTACGACAATATCTACTGTCAAGAGCTTCATTGAACCTCTGGGAGGCAGTCATTAAACTGCATCAAGAACAAGATATGTGCCGTCCCATCGCCTCCTTCGCCCTGCCGAGAGATCACAAGCCCGAGTCACCTATCCATCGATCAATCACAAGTTAATTCACACCACTATCGTCACCACCCCAGCCACTGTTAGTTTGCTCAACCCCGGAACCATCCGCTCCATCACGCTACAGTGCCTCTCCATATGGGTCCTTTACCGAATTCTCTTTGCGAATTTCCGAGAAACATCAAACAAGGAATAGAAAAACGCATCCGTGCACCCGTATTCACATGTCAAATTGTTGACTCTTTGTCGAGATGGAAGTCTCCATCATTGCGGTCACAAAATGTCCAGAGATTAAATATGTTGAAAACAAGTAAACCTGCTTGGCGTAAATCTGGTCTATATCAGCCGAGTCCCAACAAAAAAGCCAAGTCAAGTGGCATCAATGCAGTTGAGACCTCTAATGCATGCGCCACCAGAACGGGGGGTGTGCACTCTACAGCTTGGCTACCTATAAAATTGCCGTGCCTCTCAATCCGTCAGACCGTCTGCTCATCCCGAGGCCGAAAGGATCTTCAGATTTCGATAGAAGAGAATAGACGAGACGCTGGGTTGGGTATTCTAGACTTTTGTACAACTGCATAATGCTACACACCTTTCAACAGACCCCTGCTTCAATATGCAACTGTGATGCGTAATGCGGTAACTACTGTCACTGTTCAAACCTTGAGGCCTAGGGTAGGTACGGTTTTCAGTTGAAAATACCATTAGGCCAAAACGGAAGGTACCTCCACATCTTAGAAGGCAGGTATCTCAGGTTTAACCTCTTTACATTTTCCACAAGTGCACACCAAATACATCATGGATGATCATGTGCTGGAAGTTGTCACGATGGTTGAAAGACGTTATTGGTATTTTAGTAAGAAATATAGGTAATTAAACATCCTCCCACGCCTTGGTGACCTGAATTCATCAAAAGACACGCTGAGAGATTGCCCAACTCCAGGCCAGTGATCTTGAGCACTCAACGTTTTCCACGTCGCCGGCTCTTCTTCTCTGGCACACTTGCACTGCCGCCTTCTAGCTCACCCTCCTCAATCTTGCCCTCATTTTCCAACTCTTTCAACTTCTCTTGCCCTGATATAAACATGCTCAGATCGCGGTTCATCTCTTGAAGGTCAGCATTCTCTCCTTTGAGTTTCTCCAACTCTTTTACTATTGCTTCGTGGTCGCTGTTGAGATGCTCAATCCGCTTCATCAGTCCCTCGTTCAAACGTTTTTCCTCTTGGAGAGATTTGCCAAGGTTGCGTGCTAATGTTTCGCTCCTGCTCGCCTTGTTCCGCTCTCGAGCAAGTTGCTTCTCTAGCTCTGGTATTGTTTCCTGGCTGAGGGTTGTATATTTTTCATCGAGCACTGACATATTTTTTATAGCCTTTGAGGCTTGTGCCGCAGCTTCCTCGGCCGCAGCAGAAGCTTTCGAGGCCTTATCGACAGTCTTGCTGATCAGTTCTTCATAGTATGCCCTTTGGGATTCCAGTTGACTCGTGACCAAATGTGTGTACTCCAGACCAATGCTGTCCAGCTTGGCTCGAGGAACCACATCCTCTTCTTCCAAATGACCGACTGACCTATTTCTTGAAGGAAGTTCCACAACCTTCCCATCACCTTTATCTCGTATGAGTCGATGAACCCACATGTCTCCAGCGTAATCCCAGACATGCTGTGTTTCCAGCTCCAGAGCAAAACAGTGGGCTGTTTCTTTCCAGTGATCTTTGGCATGGCCACCTTTGTATCGGCCACAGCCCACATAGCCGCAAATCAAACAAATCCATAGGTCATCTGTGCAATCGCAGATGCTGCAGAGATTCGAGACTCCAGACCCAAATGGCTTTGGATGAGGCCCCGAAGGATCTGATTCTGAGTTGGGTGAGGTGTTTGTGAAGCGACAGACAGGACACCCAGCGCCTTTCCAATTCTGGAGGCATGTACAGTGAAACACATGAGAGCATGGTATTGTCATCAACCCATTTGTCTCATCCATGCGTTCCAAGCATACAGGGCAAGTTGGCAATTCCACGAGATTCGGTGTTGGCGGAGGAAACGGTCTGAGGCTGCTCGACATGCCAGCCGGCGAGGATAAGGGGGAAAGAGCCGCGCTTGATTTTCGTCGTGTCGGTGTTTCGAATGTTATACTCTTGACGAAAACTACATGGCAGATTTGAGGCTGTATCATTGTTAGAGATAGGTGTAGGGAAACTGTATGTTTTGGTCACTTACCTCCACAGTGTTAAAGACCTTTCCATCGAACTCTCTCCGCCATTGCTTGGCCCGAAAATTGTTTCGGAACTTAAGCAAGACGAGGTATCTGTTCATCCGCGATGTCATAACCATACGGCAATGACTGATATCCCCCCTCCATTTTTCTCCAACGAAACCCATCAGGTCACCTGGCGACATATACGCCGGGACTGCTGGTATACAAAGAGTTGTGCAGTCGGTATCCTTTGAGCCACTTGCTTCAGTTTCTTGATGGTTCGTCTCGATGAGGCCGGAAGTCTCGTCTTCTTCTCTGTAAAAGTGTACGACTCCCCAGCCGAGCTCAGTATTCTTTGTCTCGAGAGGAAGAAACTCAGCTTTTGTCGCTGTACCGGCCCCCCCGAATGTTGGCCCCAGCGAAGGAGCCGCAGAAGGGCCACTTCGGGTCGTCTCGCCTGCCATTGTGTGTCCAGTCCTAAGGTCGACCGTCTCGAGGCTAACACGGCCAAACCGCCAGTCTCTAACTGCGTTCTGTGGATGTATCGCGACACTTGAGTTCGGGGGCGGAAAGCTGTTAGCCCGTTCGAGCCACTGTCTCTCGGTAACAATCTCGAGTTTCCGTCCGGAGTCTTTGACCGATGGCTTCGCAGCTGCGCCACAATCTATTATACCGAGATTCGACGAGCGTGAGATTTCCCTCGTAAGAGTGTATGGATTTGCGTGGCTCGCTGAGTCGTGCTGGGGATCTATAGAACTCGATACTTTATAAGTAGTCTGTCGGTCTGGTCGCGGATGGGATGGAAAGTCGTCGAAGACACTCGCTTCAGGAGACGGAAGCCAAATTTCGTCTTGAGCTTTAGCTGCTGATGTTGCAGCGACCGGATCAGGAGTCGGATAAAGCTCGAATTTGAGGTGATAGAAGTAAGACGGCATAGCCTGATATATCGGTCTGCGGCTGAACCGCTTGCTCGAGAAAGATGCACTAGGTCTTGGTCGCAAACTCAGGTTGATTTAGGCATAGAGTGAAGTATATCGTTTGTTGCTAAGGAGGCCAAAACAGATGATGGTGAAGTATTCGATACTTATAAGTCATCGTATGCCTAGGTGTGACAGTGACGACGACGAAGAGAAGGCCTGACTTGGTGGGTACACGAATATTTAAAGAGGAAAGATTAAAACTTGCAACTTGCGGCTCATGAGCTCTATGTCAGCCCCACCCATCATGACCTGGCTGCACTGTGGAGTACCCGGCAACTTAGGGGCAACTCCACACAGCGTCAACAACACTGACTTACATGGCAACACATGGAACATCACATAATCTACAAGACAATCAGAAGATGTGATAAATAGTCGAGTAGACTTCAATAGTCTATTAGCACCTTGCATAATATTTGTAAGGGCAAAAACTACATAATAATCATGACAGGCCTAGAAGTTGCCTGATCTCGAATTCAATGCCAGTCCCTAACGCCATCATAAAATCCTGTCACCGTTCGTTGGAATAGCTTACTGGCCACCACGAAGTCGGAGAACGAGGTGGAGAGTTGACTCCTTCTGGATGTTGTAGTCGCTCAAGGTGCGACCATCTTCCAACTGCTTACCAGCGAAGATAAGACGCTGCTGATCAGGGGGGATACCCTCCTTATCCTGAATCTTGCTCTTCACGTTGTCGATAGTGTCACTAGACTCAACCTCAAGGGTGATGGTCTTTCCAGTGAGAGTCTTCACGAAAATCTGCATACCACCACGAAGACGGAGCACCAAGTGGAGAGTAGATTCCTTCTGAATGTTGTAGTCGGAAAGAGTTCGACCATCCTCAAGTTGCTTGCCAGCAAAGATGAGTCGCTGTTGGTCCGGAGGAATACCCTCCTTGTCCTGGATCTTGCTCTTCACATTATCAATGGTGTCGGATGACTCGACTTCCAGAGTGATGGTCTTTCCAGTAAGGGTCTTGACGAAGATTTGCATACCACCACGGAGGCGGAGGACGAGATGAAGGGTAGATTCCTTCTGGATGTTGTAGTCGGCAAGGGTTCGGCCGTCTTCCAGTTGCTTGCCAGCAAAAATCAGACGCTGCTGGTCAGGGGGGATACCCTCCTTGTCCTGGATCTTCGACTTAACATTGTCGATGGTATCAGACGACTCGACCTCAAGAGTGATGGTCTTGCCAGTGAGGGTCTTGACGACTATGAAGAGTTGTTAGAAGCAGATCGTGTAGCGACGAAGTCGATGTAACTTACAAATTTGCATACCACCGCGGAGGCGGAGAACAAGATGAAGAGTGGACTCCTTCTGAATGTTGTAATCAGAGAGAGTGCGGCCGTCCTCAAGCTGCTTGCCGGCAAAAATCAAGCGTTGCTGGTCGGGGGGGATGCCCTCCTTGTCCTGAATCTTGGACTTGACGTTGTCGATAGTGTCGGAAGACTCAACCTCGAGGGTGATGGTCTTGCCGGTCAGGGTCTTGACGAAGATCTGCATGATGGCGGTGATCTGTCGCGAAAGTGATGTGGATAGATATTAATCGGATGAGAGAAGGTCTTTGTTATCGCTAGTCTTGAGCGAAAATAAAGTCTTGTGTGGGAGATGTTTTGGGAAGAAAAGATGATGAAGTTAGAAAGAGGTGAGAGAGGTTTAAGTACTGAGGGGGAAGGTTTGTTTGATAATCAAGCGGGCGGGCATGCGAGAGGGGGCGCAGTGACTGGATTACGCTTGCCAGTGACGAACGGCAACGGCAAGGCAGCGTGGCAGACACTGGAACCCAGGAGCGCAGCTTCCGGGGGCGGATGATTCATGAGAGCGAATGACGGTCGCAGCTAGGGAAGGCTCCAGAATCTGGCCAGGCTGCAGAGCGCCACTTCAAGTTCTCGGTACTTTATCTTTATGTGACACTGAGGCTTGATGCGAGGTACTCGAGACCTGTCACTTATCGCCGTAAAGTGGGTCAAGGTTCGCCAAAGGCTGAAAGTCAGACTGATGTCAGGAGCGGTGTTTGGATGTGCCTGCTCATTCATGCTCTAGCATCTTCGAGGAGGATCTCGAAGCACTTAGAAATATAAAATCAGACCTTGTCCTCAAGTTCAAGCAAAGTCTTTATCTAGCGTGCGTACAACAAGCGACAACCACCGACTAACAAGTCAAAGCGTGTCTACCATAGACCGACGCAGTTCCTTATCCATTACCCGTCTCATTCACCATCTCACCGTGATTCACCACGCATCAGCAGATACCCACGGCCTAGCGCTACGATGCACGAGAGCGGAGTGGCGGAGCCTGGAGTGGGCATGTCGCCACTTTACCCCGGGAAAGACAAAAAGCGATGCTTGTTTGGATGTCTTGAACAGACGCAATTCGACCATCACAAATTTGTCTAAAAGAATAGCTAATTATTCAAGCCTTTTCTGGGAGATCGCAGGTGATCATTCCCCAAAGCTTCAGAGACCAAGCCTCTGGCTCAGGAACCGATGGCGAACGCTCTGGATCAAAACGCCGAGATAATCCTAAGTGGATTTGACAGGATACGGAGTAGGTCTAGCACCACTATCAGAGACGGGAGACTTGATGTACCTGGACGGACACCTCTGGCATCAAGAGTCCAGCACTCAATTATCTTGCAGTCAGCGATGCTGAATTTTCACAGCAGAAAATTTGACGACTCTCAGTCCAAGTTCCAGATCGAAATGTCCCGGGGGTCACCGACTTCTGCCGTCCGCTGAATCCGGTCTTGTCGGTGCTTGCGACGTCATCAGCCAACAATTCTGGCCCGTGAGGACCCTGTCTCGACGACTACCCTGTTCGCATCAACTTCTTGAACTTGCTGCAACACAACGAGGCTGGTAACGTTTCGAGTTTGGATCAACGGTAATGCCTTGAATTCGAAGGCATTCATTTCCAGCCATGGTCGTCTCGTTGCTTTCATCTGCGAACAATCATCTCACTGTTTCGATTCGTTATCAAACCTGACAATGAGCTTATCTCAAACAATCATTGCTTAACATGGCGTCTTATCATGACCCCGCCTTCGGGGTGTTGGCAAGGCACCTTGTGAACCACCCAGACCCCCGATTTCGTGATAGCTCGGCAATGCCTGAGGGTGTCTAATGCTATCGGTCCGCCCCAACAGCCATGGTGTTTCAGTTGATGTTATGGCTCACTATGTTTTTCGCTTTCCCCTCCAGCCGTTGCAAATATGCGTCTGGATTAGGAAGTTTCTTGGTGCCGAGTGAGACATTGTCTCAAAAGCTTCTGAAGCCTTGACTCCAAACGATTCAAGCAGAACATTACAGGAATGGAGTGGCCTTGAGGGTATTACTTAGGATAAAAGTCCCAAGTTTTGCCTCCCCTTGAGTGGCCCCTAACATTAGTTATCTGACCGTTCAGACATATTGTGGTCATGCACTGGTCACTCATTCACAACTTCCGTTCAGTACAGACCCAAGTTTCAAGGGTTTTAAAATTCCATTCGATATACTTGTGGCAGCTTTGTAGCACTTGCCAAGCATAGAGCCTTTTTTGTAACTATCCCAATATCCCTTTGACAAACTGCTAAAGTAAAAAACACGATTCGCTCTGCTCTTCATCGTCGACTTCGCACTCTGCTTGTCGCGAGTCCAGCCCACTTGAGCTCACCAACGCCCTCCAAAGACACTGTAAATCACACACACCTCCCATATAGGCTCATCAGCCATGCGAATTCTTTCATTCCTCAAATGCCACATCGTCAAACATGATCCCGTAATAACACCACAAAATGGGTGAGGTTCGCTATCATCTGTATGGTACGGTCGTTCTTCTCTTTCTCCAAGACTTTAAAACAATAAAACAATAAAATATGATAAAAAGAACTAAAACGCTCTGTCTTCTTCAGTCATACAATCATAGAAGAAAGTCATAAGAAGGTCATAACACATTTTCCCGTGTCAGGTAGCTTCGTGTTGTCGGGCGGTGACCAGCCGTGATAGAATGTTAGAGTCATGTTCGTATGCTCAAAAAGGACAAATCTGGGGTCGCTGTTGACCAAGATTGAAAAGGCCTTGTCAACGCTTTCGCTGTGATAAAACAAATGCAACAAAGGAAAAGAGGGCTCCTATAGGGCCCCATCATATGTTTTGACAGTGTCATAGCATCGTGATTTGAGTAGCAGGATCTTAGTTGGCCCGGATAACAAGTTTCGAGAGGAACTTGTTGGACAGGGAGTCGAAGTCGTAGCGGTCAAACTTTGACTCCTTGCGGGTACGAAGATAAGCCTCTGTGATGGTCGTTAGTACGAGAATTAAGAACAATGCTGTCAAGATGTACATACCGTGCTTGATGACGTGCTGTCTCACTTCAGTCATGGCCTCGCAGACCGAGGTGTTGTTGTGGAGGAGGTGGCCATGCTTGCGTGTGTCCCAGTCGGTGAAGGCAGGGAGCTTCTGGGAGATGGCGTGGAAAAGACCCACAATCACACCAACAGGTGTTGTCTCCATGTCAGTGCAGAACTTGTTGACGGCAACAGGGTCGGGGACTCGGTAGTGGCAATCGAACTGCATCTCCTCCCAGACAGCAAGGAGGATGGAGGCAATCATGAAGATGGTAGGCCAGTTTTTCATCTTCTCGCCACTGTAGACACCAGAGTACAGGGCAGAGAGCTCCTCGAGGATGTCCTTCTGCAATTCACGCCACATATCGGCGAGGGCACACTTGATCTGGAAGTTGATCATGACAGGGGCGACGGTACGACCGTAATACTTGGAGTCCTCGTCGTCGATCTGACCATCGAGGTCAACCTCGGATCCCTGGTTCTCAACCATGGTGATGTGCATGGTGAGGTTGTAGGCAAGGACCAGCTTAAGCGACTTTCGGATAACAGGCATCTTCTCCTTGACATAGTAGCGGTGAGCGGTCTTCAGGATCTCGGTGATAAAAGGTGTACCCTCGAAATGGTCGTCAATGAAGTCTTCGAAAGGACCATCAATGTGCTTATCAAGATACTCAGAGAGAGCATCAAGACGAATACCTTCGGCACCGACGTCAAGCTTCTCAGTGCGGGTCTCGAAGTCAATAGGCTCCTGGTCGGTGAGTGTGGACTCGACCCAGTCAACCGAGAAGCAGCTGTCATCGGCAACAAAGACCTCGCGAACCATAACGGGGAGCGCGAAACCGTAACCGTGGGTGATCCACATAAGGGTCTCCTTCTGGGCGAAGCCCTTGACATTGTAGACTGAGACACCACGGTCCATATGTCGCTCGTAGTCGGCCTTCCAGTCCTTCATGAAGTAACCAATATCCTTGATGTCGATACGAGTGCAAGGAACCTGCCAGAGTCGGGCGTGAGAAGGCTGGCAACCAGCACAGGGCTCGCCCTTATCGCAAGTCTTCTTGAGGAATTTGCAACGGAGACAAGCTCGCAATTTTCTGATCTCACTAGCCTGCTTTCTCTGCTCAGGCAGAAGAGGTCCCTTTCTGCGGCCAACCTTCTTCTCAACGGTACCATCCTTCTTGCCATTGGAAATACGTCGAACAACATTCTTAGTGGTGCTCTTAGCAATGGGGCTCTTACGAGGACCCGAGTTTCGGCGGGTAGTGCTGCTGGAGGATGGGGAGACAGATCCGGCACCACTGCCGGGGCTATGACGGCTCGAAGAGGGTTCAGACTTGATGGGGACAGTGGCGACAGCGGTGGCAGCGACAGTGGTGGTAGCAACAGGCTCATGGGTATGTGTGTGAGTATGAGCGTGGTTGTGAGCGTGGCCATCGTTGCTGAAGCAGTTGCGGTGGTTACCAGCATCAACATAGCCATCAGACTCGGGAGAGAATGGAGAGTAGGGGAAAGGCGCAATCTCCTCAAAGCTTCCGAACTCCATGGAATTGGTGCCGTCGGATGAGTCCGAATTGGTTCTCAAGTGAAGAGTCTGGGAAGGGTTGAAGATAGCAGCGCCCTGCGCGTGAGCTTGTTGGAACTGATCGAAGTTGGGCTGATTCCAATCCACCATGGCCCAGCCCTCGCCTGAGGATGAGGGAAGAGACAAAACCTCGAGGTATGTACCAGTAGGAGAGTTGCTTCCGACGCTATCAAGACGAGGTAATCCATCCATCTGCAGAGTATTCTGGAATTCCTGCCAGTCCCCCATCCCGGTGTTGGGCCATACGGCTTGTGTGTGGTCGTCCATTGGCAGTCCATTGAATGTCGATTCGAGGAGATTGGCTTGAAGAGCTGCCTGTGTAGTCGCGGGAAGATAATCCAGGGGGTTGGTCGGCTGGAAGTTTGCAGGGAAGGCATTGAAGCTCATGAGGGCAGCATCTTGGATGAACTGTGTCATATCAGCAGCAGCGAGGTGCTGCTGTTGCTGCTGCTGTTGCTGAAGGGCCCAATCCGTCAAGGGGTTCACACTTTGCTGAAAAGGTGATTGTTGTAGCGGCGAGTGCTGGCTATGAGGACTGGCGGATTGAGATGGAGGAGAGGACTGGTGCTCCTCCGGACTCATCGAGGCATAGCCGTG